GAATAAGAGAGAAAAAGGGATAGGAAGTGTCTTTGAGGGGATAATTGCTGAAAACTTCCCCAATCTGGGGAAGGAGATATCCTCTCAGGCCATAGAGGTACACAGATCTCCCAACACAAGAGACCCAAGGAAGACAACACCAAAACATATGGTAAATAAAATGGCAAAGATCAAGGATAAGGATAAACTATTAAAAGCAGCCAGAGAGAAATAAGATCACATACAAAGGAAAACCCATCAGGCTAACATCAGACTTCTCACCAGAAACCTTACAGGCCAGAAGGGAGTGGCATGATGTATTTAATGAAATGAAGCAGAAGGGCCTGGAACCAAGATTACTTCATCTGGCAAGACTATCATTTAAATTTGAAGTAGGGATGGATTAAGCAATTTCCAGATAAGCAAAAGCTGAGAGAATTTACCACCAACAAACCATCTCTACAGTGTATTTTAGAGGGACTGCTCTAGAGGGAAGTGTTCCTAAGGTTTAATAGCTGTCACCAGAGGTAATAAAACCAGAGTAAAGAAAGTAAAGCAGCTAATTACTAAGCAAATGCAGAATTAAATTAACTATCCCCAAAGTTATTCAAGATATAGACAAAGAGTACAGAATATGATACCTAATATATAAAGAATGGAGGAGGAAGAAAAAGGAGAAAAAGAAAAGAACCTTTAGATTGTATTTGTAATAGCATATTAAGTAAGTTAAGTTAGACTCTTAGATAGTAAGGAAGTTAACCTGGAACATTTGGTAACCACAAATCTAAAGTCTGCAATGGCAATAGGTACATACCTATCGATAATCACCCTAAATGTAAATGGACTGAATGCACCAATCAAAAGACATACAGTCACTGAACAGATAAAAAAAGAAGACCCATCTATATGCTGCCTACAAGAGACTCACTTTAAATTCAAAGACATACACAGACTAAAAGTGAAGGGATGGAAAAAGATATTTCATGCAACTAATAGAGAAAAAAAAGCAGGAGTTGCAGTACTTGTATCAGACAAAACAGACTTCAAAACAAAGAAAGTCACAAGAGATAAAGAAAGACATTACATAATGATTTAGGGGTCAATCCAAGAAGAAGATATAACCATTATAAACATCTATGCTCCCAACACATGAGCACCTACATACATGAAACAAATACTAATTGAATTAAAAGGGGAAATAGAATGCAATGCATTCATTCTAGGAGACTTCAACACTCCACTCATTCTGAAGGACAGATCAACCAGACAGAAAATAAGTAAGGAGACAGAGGTACTGAACAACACATTAGAACAGACGGACCTAAGAGACATCTACAGAACTCTACACCCAAAAGCAGCAGAATACACATTCTTCTCAAGTGAACATGGAATATTTTCAAGAATAGATCATATACTAGGCCATGAAACAAGCCTCAGTAAATTCAAAAAGATTGAAATTGTATCAACCAGTTTCTCAGACAACAAAGGTATGTAACTAGAAATAAATTACGCAAAGAAAATGAAAAATCCCACAAACACATGGACACTTCACAACATGCTCCTAAATAATCAATGGATCCATGCCAAATAAAAACAGAGATGAAGCAATATATGGAGACAAATGACAACAATAATTCAACATCGCAAAACCTGTGACACAGCCAAGGCCGTGCTAAGAGGAAAGTATATTGCAGTAGAAGGAGGGACAAAATAAAGATTAGAGCAGAAATAAATAAAATCGAGAAGAATAAAACAATAGAAAGAATGAATGAAAGCAAGAGCTGCTTCTTAGAGAAAATAAACAAAATAGATAAACCCCTAGCCAAACTTATCAAGAAAAAAAGAGTCTACACACAAACAGAATCAGAACTGAGAAAGGAAAAATCACTATGGACACCACAGAAATACAAAGAATTATTACAGAATACTATGAAAAATTATATGCTAACAAACTGGATAACCTAGAAGAAATGGACAACTTTCTAGAAAAATACAACCTTCCAAGGCTGACCAAGGAAGAAACAGAAAATCTTAACAGACCAATTACCAGTAATGAAATTGAACTGGTAATCAAAAACCTACCTAAGAACAAAACCCCTAAACCAGATGTCTTCACCGCTGAATTTTATCAAATATTTAGTGAAGATTTAATATCCATCATGTTAAAGTTTTCCAAAAAATAGAAGAGGAGGGAATACTTCCAAACTCATTCTATGAGGCCAGCATCACTCTAATACCAGAACCAGGCAAAGACACCACAAAAGCAGAAAATTACAGACCAATATCCCTGATGAACATAGATGAAAAAATACTCAACGAAATACTAGCAAACCAAATTAAAAAATACATCAAAAAGATCATTCATCATGATCAACTAGGATTTATTCCAGGGATGCAAGGATGCTACAACATTCGAAAATCCATCATCATCAACAAAAAGAAGGACAAAAACCGCATAATCATCTCCATAGATGCAGAAAAAGCATTTGACAAAATTCAACATCCATTCATGACAAAAACTCTCAACAAAATGGGTATAGAGGGCAAGTACTTAAACATAATAAAGGCCATATATGACAAACCCACAGCCAACATTATACTTAACAGCGAGAAGCTGAAAGCTTTTCCTTTAAGATTGGGAACAAGACAAGGATGCCCACTTTCCCCACTTCTATTCAACATAGTACTGGAGGTCCTAGCCACGGCAATCAGGCAACACATAGAAATAAAAGGCATCCAATATGGTAAGGAAGAAGTTAAACTATCCCTGTTTGCAGATGACATGATATTGTACATAAAAAACCCTGAAGAATCCACTCCAAAACTACTAGATCTATTATCTGAATTCAGCCAAGTTGCAGGATACAAAATTAAACACAGAAATCTGTGGCATTCCTATACACTAACAATGAACTAGCAGAGAGAGAAATTAGGAAAACCCATTCACAAATGCATCAAGAAGAATAAAATACCTAGGAATAAACCTAACCAAGGAAGTAAAAGACCTATACTCTGAAAACTACAAGACACTCATGAGAGAAATTAAAGAAGATACCAATAAATGGAAACACATCCGTACTCATTTATAGGAGAACTGTCAAAATGGCCATCCTGCGTAAAGCAATCTATAGGTTCAATGCAATTCCTACCAAAATACCAACAACATTCTTTAAAGAACTAGAGACAATAGTCCTAAAATTCATATGGAACCACAAAAGATCCTGAATAGCCAAAGCAATCCTGAGGAGGAAGAATAAAGCAGGGGGAATTATGCTCCCCAACTTCAAGCTCTACTACAAAGCCACAGTAATCAAGACAGTTTGGTACTGGCACAAGAACAGATCCATAGACCAGTGGAACAGACTAGAGAGCCCTGATATAAACCCAACCATATATGGTCACTTAATATACAATAAAGGAGCCATGGACATACAATGGGGAAATGACAGCCTCTTCAACAGCTGGTGTTGGCAAAACTGGACAGCTACATGCAAGAGAATGAAACTGGATTATTGTTTAACCCCATACACAAAAGTAAACTCAAAATGGATTAAAAACTTGCAGGATACAAAATTAATACACATAAATCTGTGGCATTCCTATACACTAACAATGAAATCTTGTAAGTCGTAAAACTATGAAACTCGTAGAAGACAACATAGGCAAATGTCTCCTGTATATAAGCATGAGCAACTTCTTTCTGAAAGCATCTCCTTGAGCAAGGGAAACGAAAGCAAAAATGAACACATGAGATTACATCAAACTAAAAAGGTTCTGTACGGCAAAGGACACAATCAACAGAACAAAAAGGCATCCTACAGTATGGGAGAATATATTTGTAAATGACATATCCGACAAGGGTTAACATCCAAAATATATAAGGAACTTACTTACACGCATCAATACCCAAAAAGCAAATAACCCTATTAACAATGGGCAGAGGATATGAAGAGACAGTTCTCCAAAGAAGAAATTCAGACAGCCAACAGACACACGAAAAGATGCTCCACATCACTAATCATCAGGGAAATGCAAATTAAAACCACAATGAGATATCACCTCACATCAGTAAGGATGGCCAGCATCAAAAAGACTTAGAACAACAAATGCTGGCGAGGATGCGAAGAAAGGGGAACCCTCCTGCACTGCTGGTGGGAATATAAGCTAGTTCAACCATTGTGGAAAGCAATATGGAGGTTCCTCAAAAAACTAAAGATGGAAATACCATTTGACCCAGGAATCCCACTCCTTGGAATTTACCCAAAGAATACTTCTCAGATTCAAAAAGACATATGTACCCCTATGTTTATTGCAGCATTATTTACAACAGCCAAGATACGGAAGCAACCTAAGTGTCCATCAGTAGATGAATGGATAAAGAAGATGTGGTACATATATACAATGGAATACTATTCAGCCATAAGAAACAGATCCTACCATTTGCAACTACATGGATGGAGCTGGAGGACATGCTCAGTGAAATAAGCCAGGCGGAGAAAGACAAGTGTGAAATGATTTCCCTCATTTGTGGAGTATAACAATGAAGCAAAACTAAAGGAACAGAATGGCAGCAGTCTCAAAGACTCAAGAATGAATTAGTGGTTACCAATGGGGAGGGTGGGTGGGGAGGGAGGGGATTGAAGGGTATTATGTTTAATACACATGGTATGGGGGATCACGGGTAGAACAGTGTATCACAGAGAAGGCACATAGTGAATCTGTGGCATCTTGCTGCACTGATGGACAGTGACTGCATTGGGGTATGGGTGGGGACTTGATAATATGGGTAACTGTAGTAACCACATTTTTTCATGTGAAACCTTCATAAGAGTGTTTATCAATTGTACCTTAATAAAAAATTTAAAAAATATATATGCAAAGAAGGACAGACTGATGTGAGTTAATCACAGAAAGATTTATGTAGAAAAGAGTTTAAGAATCAGGTTTTCAAGAGTGGAAGGAACCCAGATTGGCAAAGAGGGTTGAAGCCTGGAATGATATTCTGAATCAAGGCTCTTTACCTTCCAAGTGTTGGGGGGCAGGTTTCCTGTTCACAAGGTTCCGACCCCCTGATGCCTCCACCCAGTGCCACTCAGGAGATGCTCCAAAGAACCCATCTTGTTGGCTATTCTCCGATTGAGTCTTCCTTCCTATTGACAAGCTCCATTGCCAAGAGGATGGATGTGATGTCACAATCCGGAGCACTCTATTAATAGGAACAAGGAAGAAAACGGTGTATCAGGGGAACTACCTTCACTTAGCAGTGAGACTAGACAGACTTGGATGGGGAGGTCAGTTGAGGATGAGACAATTAAGGACTCCAGGTTTCAGGGCTAGACACACAGGACTGTCCTCTAAGGAGCAGTATCATTGACTAAGGAGTCACACACATGGCCCAGGAGATTCAAATACAGCTGGGGGGTAGGGGCACATGGAGAAAAGAACAAGAAGAAAGGTAGAGAAGAGCAGCTGTTTGACACAGAAAAGATTTTTATTCACCGCACACAATTCCAAGTAATGTCAATGATTCCAAGTCTGTGGCTATATAATGTAAAGACCCGTGGTACCTTCCATGCACAGTATGGTGCTTTAATGTTTCCAAAATGCTGTTACATAAATTACTTCATGTAAAAAGAATTCTGGTCCTATCCTCCAACTGGAAAATACTATTTAATAAGAAGATACTCAAGAATGTTGGTAGAAGTGCAATTCTAATTCCCAAGTCAGGAAATATTCCTGAAAGGATCAGGCTTTTAAAAAAGAAAATGAAAAGAGTGAATTAGAACATTACTCCAGAGTGGGCAACTGGTAAGACTAGAGTTAGCAATATGACTAGGCTAAGCAGGCTCTTATTACTGAGAGGATGGAACCAAGTAAAGGAGACAAGGCTTTAAATGAAAGGTGCTGAGAGATCTATTTAACACTACACAGAACCACAGCAGCTATTCACCCTCCTTTCCTCAGGGTCCCATCATGACTGTCAACAGATTAAAGGCTGTGTTAGGAAGGAAATGACTGATGATTTTTATACTTAAAATACAGCCACCTCATCATCTGAATCTGGTATGCACGCTCATTGGCCACAACACATTTAGTGTGGTATTTTTTAACTAATCAGAGGAATAAAGGTGCAATGCCAGACACACTTCTCCTGTAACTTGTGTGGTGGGAGATGGGGTTTACAGGTTTCTCCTCCACCCAAAATACAAAGGAGATATAATTCTTCCATTTTTGACAACACCCTACTTCCCAAGAACCTGGCATATGCACCTGTGTGTACCTCAAGAAATGCTTCCAGGAACGAGTGCTGTTGGCTACGCTGTCTTCTAGTGATGAATGCCAGAATCAGGAAGCAAATGGTTGCTCATGCTGGGAAAACCAGCTCTTCTCTAATGTTGCTTTGGCTAGAACAAAACAGGATTTTTCACCTGAGAGGAGGACCGGGAGTCAGGAGACTTAGGTTCTGGCCCTAACTCTACCAACTATATGATTTTAACAAGCCATGTAATCCTTCTGTAGTTTTCAATTTCTTCACCTGTCAAGTAAGGAAAATATACCTGTTTTACCTCCTTTATATGTTGTCCTGAAAAATCGAATGACATAATAAATGTGAAAGCATACTGAATACTGCTATTCTCAGGTAAGGTATTTGTAGAAAGAGAATGCACATAAATTTAGAGTACTGAGAGCCTGTGAGAAAAATGCTTGAAAAAAGCTTGTTCCTTCTTTTCAATTACTGGAAACCAGGCCTAGTCACAAAGTCAGCTGGACACACAGGGTGGTTAACATTACTGCATCACTCAGATTCCCTACCACTAGTTTACCCCACTCCTACTGGGGGGGGAATTATCAGCTGGCAACCCTATCAGCCAGCTTTTTGCCCTGTTGTCAGACTCTAAAAACACCTGTACAGGAAGAGTTAGACTATCATTATTTCAGCCCAGTATCCAAGAACAGTGGCTCAGGGGTCTCATTAAGCAGCCACATTTTCTATTAGGCAGAATGAAGACAGTTTCTGAATAAAGAAGATGTCTGTCAGTCCCTCAGGGAAAACGCTCTCACCCCTCCTAGCTTTCAGCTCCCTCTCCAGCCCCCCCTCTTCCCCACTCCTCAATTACCCCTGCATCCTGGGTTAGGGAAAGCCTTCCGGTGTGTGAAACGTGCAAAGAGCGCCTAGCTGCAAACCCAGGGCAAGGATGTAGGCAATATGAGATTCCCTCAAGGAGGGGTGGGAGAGGGAGGAGGGAAGGAATGGAGGAGGAAGACAAGAATGCCAAAGACAAGGCATGGGAAAGGAGCCAAGCTATGGCGCTTCGAGGGCGGGGGTTCAGGTTCCGCTGCCCCTGCCCAAGCTGGCCCCACAGACTCTCCCTTCCTCCCCACCAGCCCGTCAATCCTTGCCCGTTTAAACAGCACCTTGTTCCCCCAGGTCCCTTCTTTCCTGTCCTCCAGCCGGCCCAGGCCCTCCCTCGCACTACAGCTCCCCTACTCCAATGGACCTCCGCAACAACCCACCCTCCAGCACTCCTTTCTCACCTCCCGACTCCTCCATACTGCCGCTCCCTCCCTCCATCTTTCACCTTCCTTTCCACCGCTCTTCCAGACCTCCGGGACCTCGATCCCCGCCCAATCCCCCTGGGACGTCGTCCCTTCCCCTCCCACACCCTCTTTAAAGTGGGAGCCCACGCAGGCGCAGTACGAACCGCCCTGGACGCGGTCTGGACTCTCCGGACCCTGGCCCGGCTGGAGCAGAAGCGGCAGCGACCACGAGAGCGCCTGGGTGCCGAATTCCGGCCTTTCCTGGAAGGGGAAAGGGAAGGGGAAGAAGTAGCAAGAAGGTTCCGACCACTTGTCGCCGTGTGAGACGGATTATCTGCCCCGCCCACCGCTGCTACGCAACCCAGCGGAACTCGTCACCAAGCTCCTCCTTCTTTAAGTCAGGCGGGACTGCCGGGCTCCCGCAGCCGGCCGGGGGTGGAAGGCTCGCTGCGTCTGCGCCCTGAGCCCGACGTCTCATCCGAGAAAAGGACTGAGCCTTTTGGGAAAAAGAACTCCTTCCTACGCCCTTCCCTGCATGAAAGTCGGACCCGGAGCTGGGAGCCGACTCCCTTATGAGGACGAGGCTCCGCTTTGAAGCGCAGTAGGTGTCCTCGGGCTGATGCAGTGAGGTGCGAGATCGTCGCGAGGAGACAGGCGTGCGGTGTGACCTGCCATCTGCCTGGCCTCTCTCCGACTTTCTGGGCCGTGGTCAGCATCCCGGAGCCTCCCAACCGACAAGGGAGTGGTTACTGTAGTCAACAAGCCGACCACGGGATGGGAAACGGGAGAGTGTCTGGTCGCAAAGCTTTGATCCAGCGGGTTGCACGCTGCTCTACTAGCTGCACTTCTGCGGTATCTAACGTTGACTCTCAGACACCCGTAGAATTCCCTGAAACACCTAAGGGAGAGGAGGGAAATAAAATGACCCATTTCGGGTTGTGGTTTGATTTCCTGAGGATACAACACCATGGTTGGGGGTGTGGGCGGGAGAGAACCTGAGTCCGGAGAAAAGTAAAGGTGGAGCCTAAAGCACTCTCGGAAAAGGTAAGGTATTAATCAAGCAATCCATAGTATTACACCATGACCTCTTAGGCTATCTCGTATTAAATAGTATTTGCTATGGGTACTCACTAAACAAATGGTAGGTGCATTGTTTATATGTAATTGGCTTATATACAGCATTACAGAGGTAGCCACCCTTAGTTGACCAACAAGTCCCAGAGGTAACGAAAAGTTCAGGTTTCCTCTTTGCAGTCCTCTCGGAGAACCCTGAGATCTAGTGAGATCAGTGCATTAGAAACACGTGCCTATCAAACTGAAAGGAACTAATGAAAATGTGTTTTCTGTGCCCTGGGTTCCATTTCTTCCAAAGGCGGTGAGCCTGCCTATTGTCCTCTGGAGCGAATGCTACTTTTTCCAGAGACCCTGACTGAGCCGGGTAGTGCATTAATGAGGACCTGAATCAGGAATAAAGATGAGGGTTAACACAGTGGGAAGAGAGGAGGAAACTGCGTGCCTGCTGTATGCTGGGCACTCACCCGCAAAATGGAATTATATGTTTAATAATTGCCAAAAAAATTATTGCCGAGAAAAGATCGAAGTGCCAGGCTTCAAGCTTAATCCGCCGGATTCCAAAACCCTTTGTTCTTTACTCACTGTGTCAGATCTAGAAGGGAAAAAAAATCTTGAAGTTTAAGTACTTTCTTCAAGCCAAGTAAAGGAAATTCGGGACCCGAGGTGCCCTCTAGTGGTTTGTCTTCCTCCCTGCGGAGCCAGCCTTCTCCGCGGTTCCTGTAAATGCTGGAAGTCCGCCCCTGCCGTGGCGCCAGAGTCTTGGGTTCCGATTGGCTGAGCAGCGCGGGGGCGATACTGATTGGCGGAGGGGGCAGCGGGGGAAACTTCCGGGAAGGTCCGTGCTCCGACGTTCCATTGGGTTACATCCGGCGGCTGCGAGGCCAGTGGCTCCCCCTGGGGGCGGCTCGGCGGCGCTCACTGGCTGGCCGACTGGCCGACTAGGTGGGTGGGTGGGTGGTGGGCTGTATGTGGGGGAGGGGAAGGGCCGAGTCCCGGGTTGTCCGGCTGAGTTCGGGAAGGTTTGGCGAGTAAGATTCCATCCCCCGGCCCTGCACCAGGTTGCGTACCCCCGTCCCCGTCGGCTCTCCGACTTCGGGGCTTGTGACTGAAAAAGCATCCGGTATGGGGCCTTCCAGCCCCGAAGCAGCCTATTCAGAGACCCCCAAATTCAGTTCTTGAAGTTGGGGGCTCCTGGAGAAGTTTATTTCTAACCTTTTAGAAGAGTTAGAGGGTTTGAGGCTGCCTGATCCAGCCTAGTGTGGTAGATAGGCCTTGGGAAGTGGAGCATAGGAGTCAAGCCTCCATGTGTGGAGACTTCATCCCCTTCCCTCTCCCCTATTCTAGTGGGGTGCCAAAGCTCGGGAAGCATGACGACGGAGACCTTCGTGAAGGATATCAAGCCCGGGCTTAAGAATCTGAACCTCATCTTCATTGTACTGGAGACAGGTGTTTATGCTTAGGGCAGTGGGACCCCTACAGGGGCTCTGAGGGTTGCGGGGCAGGAGGGAGAGAATCCCACGTACGTTCTTAACTTGCTCTCGACGGCAGAGCTCACCCCAAGACACTGCTCACGCCCAGTCTCTCCCAGACCCCAGCCCAGCGAGTTGCATTCGAGTGTTGGGTACATAGAACTCCTGCCAGATCCCAGCTTCAGCGCCACGTGGACTTCTTGCCACGCAGGGCCCTCTCCATGGTACTAGCCCCTCCACTCACCCGCCCTGCCACCATAGAACCCGTCCCCAGCCTGCACCAGGGATTTGGCTTTGCCCTGTTTGTACACATTTTATGCCACCGATATCTAGATCTCATTGCGCTGGCCACCATTACCGCCATTTATTTGATCATCTCCCCCACCCCCATTTATGTGTTCCCTCTAGGCCGAGTGACCAAGACAAAGGACGGGCACGAGGTTCGGACCTGCAAAGTGGCAGACAAAACGGGCAGCATCAATATCTCTGTCTGGGACGACGTGGGCAACCTGATCCAACCTGGAGACATTATCCGGCTCACCAAAGGGTAACTGCTGTTTACTCCTGGCTATCCAGGGACTATAACAGTCAGGGAAGGTGGGGTTACTGTCCCTGTAACTCTTGTAAATACTCTGAATCCTGCTTTTTGTGCCCCCACAGGTATGCTTCAGTGTTCAAAGGTTGTCTGACACTATACACTGGCCGTGGGGGTGATCTTCAAAAGATTGGAGAGTAAGTGCTATTTTGGGGGTTGAGTTACTGAGGGGGGACGTTTGCAAGAAGACAACATAAGGATGTGCAGTCCATGTCCTGTACCTGGACCTTTCTGAGTCCTCCAGCCATGGCCCAGAGCATGGTCTGAGGCACTGGCTACTTTTTCCCTTTGCAGATTCTGTATGGTTTATTCTGAGGTCCCTAACTTCAGTGAGCCAAACCCGGAGTACAGCACCCAGCAGGCACCTAACAGGACGGTGAGTCCCAGGGTCATGATGTGGGGAAGGCAGGTTAGGCCAAGAAGCATGTGAGAGAGCAAGGTCTGAGTATGTAATTGTGCCTTCAGGTGCAGAACGACAGCAGCCCTACCACCCCCCAGCCTACCACTGGACCTCCTGCTGCTTCTCCAGGTAGTTCTGTTCCCTTCCATCCACTGGTCTTCCTAGCTCCTATACTCTACCCAGCCTGAACAAGTGCATTGCCCTCAGCCCTTTCCAAATCTTTCTTCTCTTACTATATCCCCTTCCACCCAATTCTTCTCCCAGCTCTTTTGCAAGTCCCTGTGGTGAAAAGATTTGGGGACTGTTTCTGTCATTGATAGAGTTCTGATACCCTTTTACCACCACCACTCAGGGGCAAAAATGAGAACAGTTTCTCCATACAGGGTGCACTTCTTCATCTCTCTGCTTTTCCTCTGGCAGGACCTTGCCCTTTTCCCCTTGCCCATTTCAGTTCATCACACAGTTCTAATATGGATTTAATGACTCAACGTGGAGTCCACACTGCATAGCCTTAGAGCACTAAATAGTTCTCTTAGTGTCCCCACTCTTCTTGAAACTCAAGGCCCTGCTTCTAGGTCTTGATCCTCAGAATTATGAGTCTTTGATCTCATGTACTTCAAGCCCCTGATTTTAGTCTCTTGAGGAAATGGGAATTGCTGTAAATCATCAGCTTTTGCTTAGAAGCACTCACCAGTGCTATCTCTGTCATCATCTCCTTCTCCCTGGGAACCTGGCTTTTCCTGTTCTCCACGGTCATCTCTCAGCTGACCCATCCACTCCCTGGGGTTTTGGCTCCCCTGCTTCTTATCTATACCTCCAGTTGCCCCTTGTGACACTAGGCATCAGGCTGCCTCTTCCCTGCCTCAGCTTGTGTCTGCTTCCCCATTTACCAGGGTTTTCAGAATTGTTTGTGACAGAACCACAGGGCTCATGGCATGTTTTAGAAACACCATGAAATAACATTTAACTCCACCACAAAAATTAGCATCCAGGTTTTAAACTGAAAATATCACTATTATGTATTTTCAAGTCTCCTCAATGCCACAATTTATTTAAATATTTTAAATAGGTATATTTAAGCCCACTTAGCCCTAATACTCATTTGTCAAATGTTTATTCACTGTCATCTGCTAACAGGTACAAAAGGCTTAAAAAAAAACATGTATGGCCTAAAAACCTAACACTTTCTATACACTCTTCCTAACTTTTTCTGTGAATTGAAGAAAGGGCATTATTTCATTTTGACTGCATTACCTTAGTCTGGTGGAGCAGCAGAGTTCAGCTGGGATTTGGTTTGAGAACCACTAACCTGTGACTTCTAAAATCTAGAATTCATAGTGCCCTATGTATGTGAGAGGCAGCCTTGTGCCTTCGTCTAACAAACACTTGTAGATGAGGAATGCTGAGGAACCTGCAGCCTGTGCAGGAGGAGGTCGTACAGATGATGACCCTAACTGGCTGTGGCAAGTGCAGTGACAGTGATACGCATGGTTATGGGAGCTCAAGGAAGTCATCTCGTGCACCTGGCTCCAATCCCATGTTTAAAATATATGCAGAAATGTTACTTATTTCTTTGGGGGTGTGAGAGTAGTAATTTTTTTGTTTATTTACATTTTCCAAAATGAACATGATCATTGTGGTACACACTATACCCTTTTTTAAAAGATACTTCTGGCATTTTAACACAGAAACTTCAGGCCCTTCCCTTCCCATGCTTCTCCAGTTTTACTATCAGTTTTGGTAAAGGGGCATTGTGTAGAGGTCCTTGAGAACTAAACAGCTAATTTTAGGTCTGACTCCTGGTGATACAGAGGTGAAAAAAAGAAAATATACTAGGTTTCATGTGACAAATTCCAAAGTGGGTGGTGGGGTCTTCTCTGGGGCTCCGTTCATACAACCCACACTCTTCGCACTTGGTCCAGTCAGCATTAATGTGCAGTTGTGTTTTCGGGAGACCATCCCACGCCCTGGGGCATGGAAGGGATCTGGGGCATACACTCTCTCCTACCCAGTGTTCTTATTCCTGTGTTTCTTCCCCTTCTCCCACACCCAGCCTCTGAGAGCCAGAACGGGAATGGACTGAGTGCCCCGCCAGGTCCTGGTGGCGGTCCACACCCCACACATACACCCCCACACACCCCCAGCACCCGCATTACCCGAAGCCAGCCCAACCACACACCTGCTGGCTCTCCTGGCTCCTCCAACAACCCTGTCAGTAACGGCAAAGAAACCCGGAGGAGCAGCAAGAGATAGCAAAGCATGCTTCCTCCCTCCAGCCACCGACTGTAGCCCCAGGTGTCTGCTAGGGAACACAGCCCTGTACTGTGTTGCCTGCTGGCTTTTGAGGGGGTGAGCAGCCACTAAACTTCACTGGAGGGTGGCAAGCAGTGGCCTTACCCACCCTAAGCCCATACTCCCCATTTTGTCCAGCTGAAGCTGCCTGGGATTCCAGGCCCTCTGCCTACCTGCCTTCTTCTTTAGAAACGACAGTTACAGTCTGTTTCTTGAGTGTGTGATGTGGAAGTCTCGTTGAAGCCCTTCTTCCTAATAAATGTTACCACTCTGTACTGGACTCCTTTGCTTTCTGTGGGAAAATGAAGTGGTTAGCAGCTGGGCATTTGAGAAGGTGGAGGGGTGATACCTACATGTTATGCGGCCTGGGCCAAGCAGGCCTGCCCCTTTAAGATAGTGTCCCTCCCCTGCCCCCTCCCTCCAGGTGACCCTTGCCCACTTGCACGCCTGCCCGCCTACCCCCCCAATAGCTGGAACCAAGAAAGCTGTGTTCCCCTTTCTCCGGGCGTCCTTCCTGTCTCCTGCTGTCAGGTAATGCCAACCTTGGCCCCCTGGACTGACCACCCCAATCAGACTGTTCTGCTGATCTTAGGCCAGGTCAGACATCTCAGGGGAGTCCAGGTGCTGCTTTCCTCTTCCCACCAGAGCTTCCCTCTTCTTGGTCATCCATTCCCAGAGCTCTGGCTCTTGCTCTTCCAGGATGATGAATTGCTAAAAAGTTTATTTCCTGTTCATCTGGTGTTGTCACTTAACTGCCTTTTTACCCTCCTCTCCAGCACAGGGACTCCTGGGGCCCCCTTTCCCAGGGCATGTAGGGATAGGGGTTGGAGATGAATGAAGCTCAGTGCCAGATGTTAAGTAGTAGGGAGTGGAAGTAATTGCAGGGAAAGGCTAAAATATTGCCAACTGGGTCAGGGAGGTAAATTATTTAGAATAGTCCAGGCCCAGGTTCTCCTTAGCCATGTGGATTTTCCAGGGGCAGAGGGTGACCCCTCCCTCCTCAGGGGCCCAACCAACACTGACCTTTGACTCACACCCCAGAGACCAGTGAACCATTAACTTCTCTCTGATGTGAGCCTTCTCATGCTGCCCCACCCAACCCACCCCGAGGCAGATAGGCTAGGAGAGGGGTGCTTAGCCATCCCAGCTTTTTGTCTGACGTGGCTCCATTCCACTGGGACACCTGATGCTTGAGCCTTGTTCCTCTCCCTGACTCAGGGACCTCTTAGCTACCACAGCAAGGCCTGACGGGGACCTGAGGTGACTGCTTTCACGCTGCCAGTGGGGGTGAGGCCCTGGGGGTTGAGGGGATGGTGGGAGCAAGGTTGAGGGGTAGGGCTGGGGGACGGATGGGGCCATGAGCTCTGGGTCAGGGAAGGTGGTCTAGGAACTGGCACACACAGACTGCTCCAGGAGGAGGCAATGGGGAGGATGGAAGGGGGCTGAGTGGGGGCTGCTGCTGGAGTCAAGGTGGGGGTGGGTTCTGCTGTCCCTGAGCTGGACAGCAGAACAGGAGCCCCAAACCTTCCTCCTGTTCTTCCAGGACCCAGTCCTCAGGATGTTCCAGGGGGAATAGGAGCCGGAATCAGAGCCTCTAACCCATTCCAGTAATGGGGTCCCCAATGAGTCATCTTCTGGCTGGCCTGTGTGTGTGGGTGGCCTTGGGCTGGGTAGGGGGCTCAGCCCCCAACCTGGGTCCTGCTGAGCAAGAACAGAACCATTACCTGGCCCAGCTGTTTGGCCTGTATGGGGAGAATGGGACGCTGACTGCAGGGGGCTTAGCACGGCTTCTCCACAGCCTGGGGCTAGGCCAGGTTCAGGGGCTTCGCCTGGGACACCATGGCCCTCCAGTTGGTCGGGCTCAACACCCAGCTGGAGACAATTCCACACACAGGTACTAACCCCTCCCTACTCCAAAACACCACATCCCCAGCTCTCAGTGCTTGGAGATTCTGATTGACTACTCTGGCATCCTAAAATTAGATTCCTGGGATTACAAATTTTCCAGAACTGACTACCTGTATCCTTTCAATGCACCTTCTGCCTCTATTGCCTTCTAAGTTTCTCCTCTACCAAATCCCCGGGCCCCTCAGTTCCTTGCTTTTGGTCCAACACTTAGTGTCTCCAGGCTGACTTGGCTCCCGATTTGCAGCATGTTTGGCTTGTCCTCTCCTTTTTCTCTCCGCCCCACACCCCTGATTCCTAGACCCTCCTATACACTGGTATTTCTCAGATCCTCCCAGGACTGACATTTCATGGTTTCCGGGTCCAAGGAGCTCCAGCCAGTGGCTGGTCCTCCCTTTCCCCCTAAGCTCCTTGATAGCCTCTCAAGGGCACTTTCTACATGACCATGAGTGAGTATGACTTGCTATCCTATCCATTCCAGGTCCCAGGACCCGGAGCTGAGTGTGGCCATCTGGGCAGGGCTGCCTCTAGGTCCCTCAGGGTGGGGCAACCTGGAGGAGCCAAACACTCTCCCGCCACCCAATGGACCAGGCCCCTCGGGCCTGGACCTCTTTCACAGGCTTCTGCTGCTGGACCATTCGCTGGCTGACCATCTGAATGAGGATGTGAGTCTGGCGATCTCTAGAGAGGAGGAAGGAACCATGGGATTTAGATGGCACGAATGTTTTACGAGTCAGTAATTTAATAGTTACTTTAAAAAAGAAACCCAGGTGTGATCTTAGGGTGTGTTATTCCAATAGTGAAATAAATATGTTCCCTCTGGGCTCAAAGCAGATAAGCCCACACTCGGATCTCCAAGACCTAGTTAAGGGCCACATTTGGCAAAGCAGGGAATCCAGACAAGCAGCCCAGGGTAGGATCTGGAGCTGGTATTTGGAGAGACCTGCAGGGAGTGGATGGCTGTCTTCATCCAGAAAGACTGTCAGCTTGTTCCACATACACCAGAGGGCAGCCAAAGTTAACTCTAAAGCAGGCCCAGTGAGAGTGAGCACCCCCTTGCAGGAAGCATTCAAGCCAAGGCTGGATGAACCTATGACAGAGCTGTTGAGAGGAAGATTGAATGGCATTTCAGGTTCTTTTCCCTTCTAAGATTCTGGAATAGAGGGATCTAGTCCGATCAACTCCATTATCAAATCAGTGAACTCATCAGGAGCTTGGGAGGGAGGAAGATGATGGCAGTGTTCACTTCACTAACACCCAATTCACATTGAATTGAGTATTCACTAGTAGTTAAGACATACTGATTATATGTACCAGTCCCCAGTGCCTGATGCACATGCCAGTGTGAGCAAAAGGGAACCCTGGGAGAGACCCAGAAGCCCATGCCACAGAAAGGCAGGCATTAAAGATTTGAACCATAGCCCTCGGCCATTCCCCAGCACATGACCTCCAACTCGACTCCTAGTGTCTGAACGGCTCCCAGCTGCTGGTCAATTTCGGCCTGAGCCCTGCGGCTCCCCTGACCCCCCGTCAGTTCGCATTGCTGTGTCCAGCCCTGCTCTATCAGATCGACAGCCGCGTCTGCGTCCAGGCCCCAGCCCCGAACCCCCCAGGGGATCTACTCTCTGGTCAGTGGGTAAAAGTAGATGGCGGGGCACCCTGAAACTTGGCAGGAGGTGGGCCCCAAGCCAATGAAGGAGGTTCAGGGGGGCCTGCCTCCCTTTGCAGCGTGGCTCTGCCCCACTTGGCGTCTGAGGCCCTCCCTCTATCCCTGGCCTAACTTCGTCCTGGTTTCCCCCAGCTCTGGTCCATAGTGCCCTGGCAGTCCTGCTACTCAGCCTCCCTGCTCCTCTCTCCCTGCTGCTGCTGCGGCTCCTGGGGCCTCACCTGCTGCAACCGCTGCTGGGCTTCCTCGGGGCCCTGGCCGTGGGCACTCTCTGTGGGGATGCACTGCTACACCTGTTGCCACATGTGCGTGAGCCCCTTCCTCAGCCCCCTGCTCCCAGTGGTGGACAGCCTGCACATATCCCAGGTGTTCCCATAGGACGCCCTCTCCTCCTCTCTGTCAGCTCCCACACCCCTCCCCCCACCTCGGCTTAGCTGCCCTCCAGCAGAGCGCGAGTGAAGACTTGCCACCTCCCACATAGGAGGGGCCTGGTGTGGGGTGCAGGGCCTTCTGGGGCCGCCCTAACCTCCTCTCTGCCAGGCACAAGGAGGGCAGCACGCTGGACCAAGCGGGGGACCAGAGGGCTCAGGGCCAGGACTGTCCGTGCTCGGAGGCCTCTCCCTGCTCTTCGCGCTGGAGAACATGCTAGGGCTTTGGCAGCGCCGCGGGCTCTGGCCAGTGAGTGACACCCTTTCCTCCTCCTCCTGCTGAGACCAGGGTCCTAGGCAAGAACTGGCCACGAGGGCCAGAAGGTGAGGGACTGAGTGTGCTCCTGGCTCCCTGGAGATTGCCTGACGAACTCAGGACATGACCACTCCCTGTTAGGGGCTCCTGTCATGGACCCAGGACTTCTGGCCAGATGGCCTCCTCTCCCAAGTTTAAGTCAACAAGAAACAGGGAAGTGCCAGCCTGGGATTAGAGTAGAGAGGCCAAAAAATGCACCGGAGCCCAGAGGTGGAACCAGGTGTTCATTTTCCCAGCTGGTAGCCTGGCCTCTTCTTAGCCCCCGGCTCTGCTGCCTCCTCCACCAGGAGGGAAACCCTCCTATTTCAGAGATGCTGCAGGCGAAAAAGAAAGGATCTCGCAACAGCAAACCTGGACCCAGAGGATGGCAGTGGAATGGCCCTTCAGCCCCTACAGGCAGCTTCAGGTGATAAAGGAGAAAAGGAAGGGCAGGCTCCCAGCTCCCACTTGAAACCACCAACACATCCTTGTCCTTCCTGCAGAGCCAGGGGCTCAGGGATCCAGAGAACAGGACAGCCAGCCCCCACCAGCCCCAGCCCCTCCTAGGCACCAGGGCCACAGTCATGGACACCAGGGTGGTAGTGGCAGCAATTTAACATGGATGGTCCTCTTGGGAGATGGTCTGCACAACTTCATGGATGGGCTGGCCATAGGTGAGGGGCGAGGACTGAGGGAGGCAGGTCAGAGGGTAGGACACCTAGTCATTGGCTGGGGCTAGGACAGGGCACAGGGAGGAGGGCTGGGAGTTTGAGAGGGTAGCAGAGAGAAGGCAGTCCCTGGGAGGGGGTGCCTGGAAGAGCTTTCTTCCCAGACAGCCTCCAATCCTGCCACCTGGGTGGCTTCCTTGCAGGTGCTGCCTTCTCAGATGGCTTCTCCAGCGGCCTCAGCACCACCCTAGCAGTCTTCTGCCATGAGCTCCCCCACGAACTGGGTAGGAACGGAGTAAGTGGGGTGAGGTGGGCTTGGGAGAGACCTCCCAGGGGTGGAACTTGGAGGCTGGTGGGTGAGGGGCATGGGGCAGCCCTGGCATACTCCCTCCTCTCACCCACAGGTGACTTTGCAATGCTGCTCCGGGCAGAGCTGCCTTTTCGGCAGCTGCTGCTGCTGAGCCTGGTGTCTGGAGCCCTGGGACTTGGGGGTGCAGCCCTGGGGGTGGGGCTCAGTTTGGGCCCTGTCCCCCTTACTCCCTGGGTGTTTGGGGTCACTGCTGGGGTCTTCCTCTATGTGGCCCTTGTGGACATGGTGAGAGGTGTGCGTAGTGTGGAGAAACCAAAGGAAGCTGGGAGGCGGGTGTGGAGGGAGGGAAGTTCCCACCCCCCCATCCCACTGGCCACCTGAAAGGGTGCTGACAACGGGCCAAGTACCAGGAACAAGGGCTGGGAAGTCCAGTGGGGGCTGCTGATATATTCTGACACTTTCCTCTCACGTTGCCGGCAGGGACAAAGCCAGGGTCCCAACCACCTTCTTTTCTTTCAGCTACCGGCCCTGCTTCGTCCTCCTGAGCCCCTCCCCACACTTGAGGCACTACTGCAGGGCCTGGGGCTGCTGCTGGGGGGCAGCCTCATGCTCACCATAGCCCTGCTGGAGGAGCAGCTACGGCCTCTGGTCTCTGAAGGCTGATGGGGGCCAGTGGAAAGGCATCCAGTTGCTCTTCCTTCCCTCCAGCCACAGGAATGCAAGCGGGACACAGGGCCAGTAGGAGCAATAGGATTTTAATAAACAGAACCCATCCCAAAGCCGTGACTATGACAGTTGTACTTGCACCAAAACAGCATAGAAAACCAGGATGTGGCAGGAGAAGGGCTCAGAGTGGATCAGGGGGGGACATGAGCAAGGGCCTGGAGGGCACAGGGTGGTCAGTCTGCAGGGAGAGCATTGTGCTTTAGCCCAGAGAGGAGGAGAAGGGGAGGCAAACACACCAAGGTCCCCTTTTTCCTGCTGCCCCCAGCACCCTGGGGGTACAGGCATCTGGGCAGATCTGCCTTTTACTGATGCCCACCAGCATTCATCACTCTGACCCCAATACTAGCACCACAGGTGGTTCTGGGCAGGGAGAAGGGCAGGAATGGGACAATTGCTTAGAGAAAGATTCAACTGGAATCCAGTGAATTGTGCTCAGTTCTCTTTACTTCTACGACCGAGTACATGGGTCACAGGGTGGAGGGTGCACAGGACAGGGAACGTGCCCCAGTGCCCCAAGCACACCCTGCACACAGGGTGGTGGTGTCTGCAGCATCACAGGTCATGCAGGGCATGGGGAGGCGGGGTTAACACACACAAAGACGTCCACAGCGGGTACCAGACCAAGAACACCCCTGAACATACACAGCTGTACACAGAGAACCCCGAGGTCCCCAGCCCAACCCTCTCCCTTGTCTTGCCATCCCCCAGGCAGGAGGAACTGTATTGCTTTGAGAGAGCCACCCTGGGGGCTGCTCCGCCAGGCACCCACACCCCTCCCCTCCCCCCACCCCGGTTTTGGCACTTCTGCAAGACATACTGCAGCAGCGAGAGTAGGCACCTCCCTCCCAGGCTTCTGCAGCTGGGAGTTGGGGATGGGGGTAGGACTTCATCCTCCATCTTGCCCCTAGCCCTTCCCAAACCCCTACCAAACCCACTCCAGCCAGAAGCCACCCCACTCCCCAAATGCACACGTACAAAGCTGAGCTATCCAGGAATACAGGGGAACAAGGAGATTGTCTGGGCTGGGAGCGGAGGCAGTGGTGTGGGGGAAGGACTGGAAGCAGAGCCCCCACCCTGGTGTGGGGATAAGACCGGCACAACAGCTACTTTAGTGCAATTGGAGGGGGTGCTCAGTGTGAGGGGAGATGGGGGAGTCTCCCCCTGACTCCCCTGGGGGCAAAGCCAGGCTCCCCAGGGAAAGGGCCCAGCAGGAGTGAGTGGGGCGGGTGGACCCTCTGGTCACCCACCACCCTGTGCCCTCCCAAACGCAGTGAGTGTCCCCCTCACAGCTAAGTGGGCAGCAGCCTCAGAGTCAGTACCTTCAAGTAATTCACATAGCAGACCCCCTACCTCCAGGATTTGGTCGCTTTTTTAGGGGTTGGGTCGGGAGAAGGGAGTCCCCAAGTCAGACCCTTCCCTCTCTACCTCCCTCTTCCCAGACCACTGGGCTTGGTCCTCAAAGATTCCTCACCTCTGCCCTTGCCCCACACAGGTCAAGGCCAAGAAGGGCTGAAGCAGCATAATTCGATGGAGGGGAAGGCGCTGCTTTGCTCCTTATCCCTCCTTCTTCAAAAGTAGGGCTCAAGCTAGGTGGGTAGGGGCCCCATACTGGCTTGCCCCAGGAAGAGGGTTTCTGGGCTAGGGTCTGTAAGGCTATTTTCCTTTGTGGTGGGAAGGGGAGGTGGAGGATGAACACTGGGTGTGAGAAGAGGGTGAGAAATGGCAGCGAGGGGAGGAGGAAGGGGCCTCCCTGTTGGAGTCATTCAGGGGAAAACCAGTCCTGTGCACGAGAGACAGGGTGCGCCTGCTCCCAGCTTGGCCTCTCAGGGACCCTTCCGAGAGCCCATAGGTTTTGGGGATACAGCTGTAGAACTGTTCACTCTAGCCCCATACCCCTGCCTCCTCCCCCTCTAGGTCCAGGGAGTAAGAAGGTGCTCAGGTGGGCAGACAATGGTGGAAACAGTATTGAGTTTTCCTTTGGTTACATATTGAAGGCAAAGGTGAGCTGGACTTACAGTCAAAACAGATAGGGATGAGGGACGAAGAGGGGCCATGCTGGGGTCGGAGAGGGAGGTGGGCCCTCCTCAGCCCCTCCTCCCCAGGAACACACGTCTAAGGTGGGCAGCAGTCCCTCAGTCTCACCTCTCCCACCCCCACAGCACCAAACACCAGAAGCCCCCCCCAGGAGAGGCTGCCCACCCCACTGGGGCTGTACATTCAGAGGCTTTCAGCAGTCCTCGGGCACGAGGGCCATGGGATGGGAGAGGTGGCCCTTCGGCCTCTGCTGGACAGTGGCAGTGACCCGGGTCTGTCGGTCCATGCTGGGACCTGCAGTTTGTACCATCTGCTCTTCTGAAGTATAGTGCACAACTCTACCAAAGCCACCGCTCAGTCAGAAACATCTCTCCAAAAATCAGAAACTAAAAGCTGGCTCTTTTCATCTTGCCCTGTGTTTGACAATGTCTATTTCCCTGTCTCCTTTGTAGCCCTAGCTCTGTCCCATTTGCTGGGAACTGGGGCTGCTCCCAAGGTCCTCACTTAAAACAGGACCTTTCTCAAAAGTGCTTATTACTTGAGGCAAGTGCTTTAGAGCTGAGGTGGGAAGGGAGAGGGGCAGTGGGAGGGCACCGGGAAGGTGTCCCCCAACCCCTGCCTGCCCCCTGAGACTTGGGGGCATTTTGCCTGCTTCACTTCTCCACACCCGTTTACCAAAGAGGTTTTAAAAAAATCTTAACATTAAAATAAATATTCAGTGGCCATGAGAATGGTCAAAATGCTTCAAAACACGCTAGGGGCCAGGGAGCCAGGGTGGGGTGTGGGATTTCCTTTGGCATAAGGAGAGGAGGCTGCTCGTCCTCTGGGCCTCCTCACAGCCAAATGAGGAGGGACTGAGAACACCCCATGGCCTGCCCCAGCACAGTGTGCTGAGGGCACCAGGATGGGCAGCCACCGGAAATCTCATCCAGCAAAACAATGGGGCTCCTGACAAACTCTGATTCTTCCTGCCATTGCCAAACACTGAGAAAGGAGGACACGACTGATACCCTGACACTTCTCTGGGGCACCCACCTTCCTGCCCCTTGCCCCCCCACCTAATACCCAGCACCAAATGAGAGGGAACAGGTGGAATGGGAAGATTTTAGGTGAGAGAGTTGAAGTTAGGGGGCAAGCTTTGCAGACCAACAGGGTTTGGGGTGGGGGCTGCAGCCCTTAAGAGAGGTCACATTGATTGTCGTACAGGGGAGGATGGTGTGAAGGAAAGTGGGCAAGAGGGGTGTTGCAAGGCCCTTTGGCTTTGAAAACAAAACTAAAAACTAAAAGCTGCACAATCCTTCTTACCAATAATGGTCAACTGGAAGCTCTGAAATGGTTTCGGAGCTGAGGGTTGGGGGAAGTAGGACACAGAGATAGCAGGATAAGGAGGGATATGACAGAAGGATAAGGACTTGGACAAACACCCCAGGCTTCAGGGAACCACCATGAGGTATGGCTAAGGGAATCTGGTGGGGAGGGAGAGGCCCCCGAGGTGTCCCCTCTTCTCAGCCCACCCTGGGCAAGGGCAGCAAGACTTGCAGGGGACACACTGAAACATGGGCAAGATCACAAAAAGAAAGCAGCAGGTGAAGGAGACCAAGGGAACTCCTAGGGGAACCCCTGTACGGTGTAAACGAAGCCTGTCCAGTTCTCAGGGAACAATACTGATGGCGACCAAACTGGGCAAGGATGTGCTGTGGGGACGGAGGGGGCATGACCTCTATTCAAGTTCTGTATCTTGGCCCCTGGCTGAGGTATTGAGTGTGAGGAAGGGAACTCTGGGCCACAGGAGTGAGTCCAACTGTCCAGGAGGCTTAACTAGATGGATGGACATGGTGTTTGAAGGGACCAGGGCCAAATTCAATGCTACATTTAGAGAGAAAACTGCCCCCTCCTCATTCTGACCCAGTTTGGCTTTTGGGGTGCAATTCTGAAGAATCTTCTCAATGCTCACCCCAGCCCAGTCCCGTCTCTGCCTGCTACTGGGAAGGCAGGGACCAAGCCTCAGTCTGTTCTTTGCTCCCCACATCTGAGCTTCAGCCTCACCAGGGAAGGGAAGCCTGGGTCCCAAGTAGCCATAGTCCCTAGTCTGCCCTACCCCTCCCACCATCTTTGGCTTCAGATCAGGATGACTGGGGAAGGTGGGTACTCTTGGACATAACTGAAGGTGGTGGCAGATGGAGCACAGAGGAACTATGGGACTGGGGGGCATAGGAGAACAGGGTTGCTCCCTCCACACACATGCAACACATGCCTGAACCAGGATATACAAGGGATGTGGTTTTGAAATGGGCAAGAAATTAATTAGTTTTTTCCCCTAAAGGATAAAATGCTTACTTAAAAATTCATGACAAGCCTCAAAGTTAAGGGAGAGGAGAGACAAGGAGGGAATGGCCACAGACTCTGCCCTCCCAAAAGAAGTTTAAGGAAAGAAGCAAGCTTAAAGTGCGTGTCTGGGGGGCAGGCCAGGATGGGGAGGGCAGCAGGGAGGGGCAGGCTGTGGGGGCTGACCAGCCCTTGATCTGCATATGAGGAGCCAGGAGTGCAGGGGTGGGGCCCAGGTACAGTAGTTACTGCTTCAAGTGTTTTGCATTTGAACCTTAGGGGTGATGAGTACAGAAGTGGGGTAAAAGCTCCAGGCCCCAGTGCTAAATATCTCCCCCACTCATCTGCTAGCTGCCCCTGAAGGGGAGGGGGACACCCCCAGAGTGCTCACACAGTACCAGAAATTAAGGCTTCTCACTGCTGGGGGATGGAGGGGCCAGCTGAGCAGGGGAGCAGGGAGGCAGTGATGGGTATGGAAAAAGAGGGGATCTGCCTGGCAGTAGGGGAAGGGGACACAGAGAGGAGTCAGAGGGAGGAGTGGGGGTAGTTGGCAGCAGAAAGGGAGAACTGAGGGATGGGGTAAAAGAGGGGGAGCCAGACATTTAGCAATCATTTTGGGACACTTGGCAGAAGGGGTTGCCCTGGAGGTACCAAGGGCCTGGGGTGCTCCCTGTCAGTCCCAGACCCCTGCCAG